CGGTGCTCTGGAGACACCGGAGAAGCGGTACAAGAAGCTCTCGCGCAAGACGTTCGCGAACCGGGTGAACGCCATCGTGCACGGCGACCAGGATGATCATGGACGCAAGTACCGGAGAATGCACGGCCTCGCCACGCGCCGGCAGCGCCCCTACGACTCGCTGGCGGAGATGGCGCTCGAGCGAGAGGTGCGCAAGGAGCCGCTCCTCAACGTCGCCGGCCTGAACCACACGGACGATGAGAACTGGGGCCGCAACGAGCGGTCGTGGGTGGATGGGATGCCGTCGACGCGCTACGGCAGCTGACCGAGGAGGCGCCTCGACCACGGCGCACGTGGACGGCGGTGCTCCGCTCCGTCCTGCGTTGTATCTTTGATCCTTCACCTTCCCGTCTCACGAACACACGCGTGTGTGTGTGTATGTCTAATCGTACAAGGGGCAGCAACAACCACGGTCTGCCTCGCTCGCTTGCCATCCAGCCAGCGGAGCCAACGTCTCCCCCCCCCCCCCCCCCCGCCGCCGCCGTCGTCGGTGCCGCTTCCACAGCTGTGGTTGCAGTGATGGGCGGTTGGGAGAGGCGAGCGCGAGCTCCCGCCATGGCGTCGACCTGCCTCGCACATGTGCACACCCTCCATCACTGCTCCTCTTCCTCCTCCTCTCCCTCGCACTACTCGTGCAGAAGAGAAAAAAAAAAAAAGGTACCGCGACAGCGCCTCTTCGTCCTGCTCGCCACCACCGGCGTGCCACACTCGACCACGTCCTCGCCAACACACACATTGACACACCGGCTCATCCAACCATTCATCCTCGGCACCTACGCAGAGTGAAGCGAGGGCAGCACCGGGAACTCACGCGTCTCTGTGTGCGCGTGTGGCTGTGGATCAATCCACTGCACAAGAAGGTGCACCGTTCGGCTCGCGAACGCGGCGCCGCGCTGCACCGCTCCTCGTCGGCCTCCTGCTGACACGCGGCCCGACCGCCTGCGCGACTACGCACCGCAGCGTGGCGCCAATGTTCGGCAAAGGTACCTTTGCTCGCAAGGCCCTCATCGGCACCGCCGTTGCCGGCGTCGTTGGCGCCGGTGGCGGCTATGCCATGTACCAGCGCCGCCTGCGCGACAACCGCAGCGTGACGGCGGAGTCGTTCAATGCGATGCAGGACGCCGCGACGGTCGATGCCGCGCTGAAGACGCTGTGCGACCCGACGGCGCACCCGCTCACCAAGTTCTTCCGCTACACGACCTGCCCCTGGTGTGGCACCGTCAAGGCGCTTCTTGACTACGGCAAGGTCCCGCACGAGTGTGTCGAGGTGGAGCCGATGTTCAAGAGTGAGCTGGCGGAGAGCGCCTACAAGAAGGTGCCCCAGCTGCGCTTCGACTCACCGGCCGGGCCAGGGCCGTACCTGGTGGACTCGCAGCTCATCGTGGACACCCTCAGCGAGCGGATGGGCCTCGGCCGGCAGCTGCGGGACGAAGAGGTGGTCAAGTGGCGCACGTGGGCCCGCGGCCCCCTCGTCCGCCTCGTCACCCTCGAGTTCAACCGCTCCCTCCCCGCGGCGTGGGCCGGGTACTCCTACATCGACGACTGCGACACGATCCCGTACGTGAACAAGCTCTTTCTGAAGGTGGTCGGGGCGCCGGTGATGTACATCGTCGCGATGAGCGTGACGAAGCCGCGGCTGGTGAAGGCGGGTCTCATGAAGCCCGACGACGACCCGAAGCAGCGCCTCCACGACGAGGTGAACCGCTTCACCGCCGAGGCCCTCATCGACCCCGCATCAAAGAAGCCCCGCCCCTTCCACGGCGGCAGCAAGCCGGACTTGGTGGACATCGACACCTACGGCGTCCTCCAGTCCGTCCGCGGCCACCGCATCTACGACACCATGATCGCCGAGACGCAGATCGGCGCGTGGCTGAAGGCGATGGATGGCGCAACGGGCAAGGTGTAGCGCGTCAGCCACACACACACACACACAAACCTCACCGCCGGCGACAAGCGCGAGGTGCGCTTGACTATCACAGCAATGACAACAACAACAAAAAGAAAAAAAAAAGAAGAGAAGAAGAAGAACAGCCGCGCGTCCACATCTCCTCTCTCCCTTCTTCGAGCTATCTCATGGGAGTCTGAAGGAGAGTCACGACCCCGGTTGCACGGCGCTCTGGTACGGACAGTCGGCAGACACAGGTGCACACATGTACACGCACATGCACAGATATTCTTGTGCAGCGAGAGATCGAGAAGGCGTACAAGCTGGTGGCCCTCACCCCTCCCTCCTCCTCCTCCTTCCGGTGTGTGTGTGTGCGTGTCGATGTGTCGCTGCTGTCTCTCCCTTCTCGTTCGCGTGTGTGTCTCTCGATCTCTTCCTTCCTCTCTCTCTCTCTAACGTGCGTGTTCACATGACGGTGTGTGACGGACGGGAGACGAGGGTCGCCCGGCTGCGTCCCTCATCGAGCGGTGCGGCGGTGCGGCCCACCGCTGCTCTCCCCAGTACCTACCAGTGTCCTCTCAACTAGTCTGTGCAACCACAGCAGGCAGCCGCCACGGTGTGTCGGAGCGCGCACCTCTGCATCTCACCAGCGAATCAATGGCGAAGTGGTGCAGCCGTGTGTGTGTGTGTGTGTGTGTGTGTGTGGGTGTGTGTGTGTGTGTGAAGGGAAGGGGGGAGGAGGAAGATGCGGTGGCGGGTGCCGTGGATGCCACAGACGGGGCATGCGGTCGCCTACGTGTGTAACAGTCTCATCCCTGCGGTCACCCATCCGCCTTCTCTCCCTTTCCCACCTCGTCCGCGCTGTTCCTCTGATCTTCCATGAGCGGATCTACGTGGACTCTACCTGCTCCATCGCTCCTGCTCTCTCTCTCCCTCCCTCCCTCTTTACACACACACACGTGCATGTTCACGAGAGAAGTGTACAGTTGTGGAAGCGAAGGTAGCACCTTTGCGGCGAGGCGCTTGACATCACCGCCCACGGCGCCGTCATCTGCCGACGGTGCTCCCCTTCCCCTTCCCCCCATCTCGAGGCGCGCACAACACACACATATACACACACACCTACACACACACACACACACACGCACAACGATGGAGTCACCACGCGCTATGCAGAGCAGTGGGACGCCGACAGGGTCGCCGGGGCAGAGCCGCTGCGCCATCGCCGCGAAGAACAACGGACAGTATCTGTTCGTCGTTGTCCCGAGGCCGAAGCCGCCACCAAAGGTCGAGCTGGAGCCGCTCATGTTCTTCGACACGCCGGCCGCGGCCGCCCCGGCACCACCGCCTCCGCCGCGGCAGACCACCGACGCGTACCTGCCCGCGAAGGTGTGGGCGGAGGGCTCCGTGGTGGTGCCGCTGGAGGTGAACGGCAACGGTCAGCTGCAGCGCTCCGTCGCGTTCGGCGCCACCGAGTTCGCCTCCATCGCGGACGTGCGGAGGCGGTGTGGTCCGTTCACCTCCTTTCAAGAGTACCCGGCGCTCTTCGGGTGTCTGAAGATCGACCGGGTGTACGTGCTCGTCGCCACCGCCGTCACCGCGGCCGTGCCGCTGCCGTTCGCAGGGGTCATCCGCCGGGTGGAGGGGACGGCGTGGGTGCCGCTGGAGCTGCCCGGGGTCGTCCCAGTGCGGGTGAGCCCGACGGACCGGACGCGGCTGCGCGAGTTTCAGGAGTACACGTACTACAAGGGCTACTACTACAGCGACGATGTGAACCTGATGCTGCCCTTTCCCTTCACCAAGCCCGACACCTGCGCGCCACCGGACCTCGCATGCGACTGGTCCTACCACCTCCGCGAGCCCTTCACGGCGTGCTCGCTGGCGGCGGCGTGCTCCGTGCTGGTGCGCGGCTTCGTCGGAGAGCGCGTCTGCACGCTCAAGGACGGGATCGAGCTGCACTTTGTGCTCCTGGGGCGGCAGAGCAACGTGAACCCCGGGCCGCGCTACCTCGGCCGCGGCCTGAACTCGGCCAACGGCGCGGGCAACGACCACTACTACGAGTACATCCTGTGGAAGTACCACGGCGCCGACACGGTCACCTTCACCCGCCACTCCATCCTCCGCGGCACCATTCCCGTGCGCTGGACGACGCAGATGAGCATGTCTCTCTCCGAGCCGGCGATGATCTTCAGCAGCGACAAGGCCGAGGTGCTCCGCGGCAGCGCCGCATACTTCGACCACACGTTTCAGAAACTGAAGCACATCATGCTGCTCGACACGAACGGCCGCAGCGCCGCCAACCCGCACGTGCGGTGCATCAACCTGCTGCGCCTCAACCCCCAGAACGGCGAGGACGTGCTCGCGCGGCACTTCCTGGACGCCGTGCGGACGTCGGACCCGGTCATCAAGCGCAAGTTCCCCGGCGGCAACCTCGACCTCGTCCACGTGGACTGGCTCAACCTCATCAAGGAGTACGGCATCGACGTGGCGACCTCGACCTTCTGGGAGGCGGCGATGGGCTTCCTCGGCACCGCGACGGCGGCGGAGGACTCGATGATGACGGTGGGCATGATCCGCCGCACGGGCGAGGTGGATCGCCTCATCACGCAGTCGCGCTTCGTGCGCGTGAACTGCGCCGACTCGCTCGACCGCACTAACCTGGGCTGCTTCTTCACGTGCCTGCAGCTCTCCATCGCGATGCTCATCACCCAGCGCATCCCCTACGCCAGCTTCCCGGACAGCCCCGCGGTGCCGGGGCTCGACGCGTCGGAGGAGGTCGGCCTCGAGGGCGGGTACGCGGCGGCCTACGCCCCCGTGTCTGGTGCGAAGCAGACGGTGCCGAAGCCGTTCGTGAACACGTGGAACGAGGCGCGCGATGCACAGCGAGTCCCGCCGGCCGTCGTCCGCGCGCTGGCTGGCCTGTTCGTCGACAACGGCGACTGCGTGGCCACGCTCTACACCAACTCGGCCGCGATGCATGGGAACATCCTGCGCGGCGTGTGCGGCATGCGGTTGCAGGGGCACAACGCCGTCATCGCGACGCAGCGCAAGTTCGAGAACGTCTTCGAGGATCGCAAGAAGCTCCGCAGCATCGAACTGCTCCTCGGCCGCAACCAAGGCGACCACTTCCCCTCCATCAGCCAGGTGTTCCTGCTCCGGCCCGTCCCGTACACGCAGTGGGCCTGCGCCGTCACCGTCGTCGGCGTCCCCGACAGCGTGGCGGCGCGCGAGGTCGACGCGGCGGTGCGCCGCGCATGGGACGCTGGCGCGGCTCCGCAGCTCGCGGCGCGTCAGCTGCCGCCGATCGAGGGCAAGGCGCTGTGCTTCAGCGTCACGCTCCCCAAGGCGTCGGAGAAGCAAGAGCACGACGAGCTGGCGCAGTCGATGAAGCAGGTGTCCTTCGGCGGCTCGCCACCACCGGAGGACCAGATGGGGGACTCCGCGTGCGAGGACGGCGCGATACGCTCCCGCAGCGAGCGACTCGCCGTCATCGAGTTCGACCCCAACCTCTGCATCGTGGTCGACGCGGCCACCCTCCTGCGGCAGCAGGGCTACCTCACCCTCGGCGGCAGCAACTGCATCCTCGCCCCGTACGCATACCCCGTGCAGACCGGCAACGAGTCGAGCGGGATGGGCGGTGCTGTCAAGAACGTTGGAACCTCTCTGAAGCGCGGCCTCACCACCTTCATGCGCAACCTCAACTGAGCAGCATCCGCGCGTGGAGCTCGCCCCACCCCCCAAATATATATCTGTGTGTCTCTGTGTATGTGTCTATGTGTGTGTGTATGTGTGTCCGTCTTGATTGATTGCACCCCCGCCGATCCCTCCGCTCCCGATGCGACCGCCCCTCCGCGCACGCGCTCGGCTCAGCCGGTGCACCTCGTCGACCTCCTCCGATTGCACTCGGAGGCGGAAGAAGACGAGGAGGAGGAGCACGAGAGAGAAGTCCGAAGGGCGATGGTGATACGAGCCGCACACCAGCGCGCCAATCGCCGTCGCCGATGACTTGGACACACACAGACACACGCACATACCTTCACCGTGCTCCTCCCCTCCCTCCCTCCCTCCCTCCCTCCCTCCCTCTCTCTCTGTCAGTCAGTCTCCTCCTCTCCATCTTCCCGCTCGCAGGCGACCAACATGGCTCAAGAGGCCCAGCAGCACTGGCGGTACGCGCTGGCGCACTACACACCGTTCCTTGACGCACTGCGCAGCCTCTATCACCGCGATGAGGACATCACAGACGACGACGATGACGACGACGATGGCGCCGTCCACGCCTCCGCCGCCGCCGCCGCCAACCCGCCGCCGCCTCCGCTGCCGCACGGCGGAGGTCTTGTCGCCCTCGTCTCTGCGCTTCTGCCCGGCACCTGCCCACTCGCCTTCGCCGCGGTCTCGCCACACGCCCGCTTCTACTCGGAGCTTCGCAACGGCGTCTCCGTCCACACCACGCGCACATCCCTCACGACGCGTGTGCACCACGGCGTCGTGACACACACCGTCGCTGTCGCCGCTGCCGGCGAGGGCAGGCAAGAGAAGGACGAGGCACGCGTGTCGTCGTGGTGGCGCCGACGCAACGGCTTCCCTCTTGACGTCAACGCCGAGGAGCTCGTGGGTGCCCTCGACCTCTCCGACTCCTGCTTCGCCGGTCTGTGGCGGCTGCGCCTCTCCGACAGCGTGCGCTCTCTCACCGCTTCGCCCGCTGTGCTGCGATCCATTGAGGAGATCGACGTCTCCGGCTCAACGCTGCCGCTGCTGCGCCGCCACTTCCCGCACCTCGGCTCCCTGCGCCACCTGTCAATCCGAGAGTGCTCCCCCGCGTCTCTCACATGCGCAGCAGCGCTTCCCGCGCTGACGGAGTTGTCGCTGGACGGCGACATGGACGCGGTGCAGCTGCGCCAACTCGCGTCCGCCGCGTCCCTCTCCACGCTGACGGTGACCAGCCGCGTCCTGACGCTCCTTTCTGGTATCTCGGCTTGCGCAGCCCTGGAGCGCCTCACACTCGCCGGGTGTTCTGATCTGGCCGATATCGCACCCATCGCCGCTGCCACGCGACTGCGACACCTGGACGCGAGCGGCGCGTGCATCGAGTCGATTGCACCCGTTGCACACTGCCGTCAGCTGGAGGAGCTGAAGTTGTCCTCGTGCCAGTTTCTTACAGATCTGACGCCGCTGCACGGTATGCCGGCGTTGCGCGTCCTCGACATCAGCGATGGCGACGTGCGCTCTGTTGCCGCTCTCTGCGACTGCGCCGCGCTGGAGGTGGTCGACGTGTCGTACTGTATGGAGCTGGCAAACATCGCCCCCCTCGCGCTCGCCATCTCGCTGAGGGACCTGCGTGCCAGCCACAGCGCCGTGGCCGACCTCGGCAGCGGCAGCGGCGGTGATTGGCGGTCGCTCGTGGTCATCAACGTTTCGCACTGCAAACAGTTGCGCTCCTTGGCGCCGCTGCGGGCCGCGCAGAAACTGGAGAGGATCGAGGCCTCATACAGCACCGTCGAGAACATCTCCGACCTGCACTGCTGCTCCTCGCTCGCCGTCGTGTGCCTTCGCCGCTGCCACGCACTGCAGAGCCTGGCGGGACTCGCGGCGGCGCCACAGCTGCGCGTCTTGGACGCCAGTGAGAGTAGTGTTCGCTCTGTGGACGGACTAGGCGCGTGCCCTCAGCTGCAAGAGGTGGACTTCCTGCACTGCACTGATCTCTTCGACTTGTCTCCATTGGCCGGCGCCCCACAACTGCGGCTGATCAACGCGGCGGAGTCGAGCGCGCAGACGATTGAGGGCCTCAGCGCGTGCGCCATGCTCGCCATGGTGGACTTCGACTGTTGCAAGTATCTCACGAGTCTCTCACCACTGGCCGGCGCCCCAGCGCTGGAGACGATCATCGCAGCACGCAGCGGTGTGCAGTCCATCGCCGGGCTCCGCCAGTGCCCGCGACTGCGCACGGTAGATCTACTCCTCTGCACCGACCTCCGCGAGAACCCAGCGGAGGAGTTCGAGGGCACTCTCGTCCACTGCCAGCCTGTCTGACGTCCCGCAAGCGAACACGTGACATGCGCGCGGCGCGCTGTGGTGCATCGGTTGTCGGAGGGATGATGAAGGTGAGGATGGCGAACACCAGTCGTGCTTCGACTCCCGGATCATGCGTGGACACCATGTCCGCCCGTGACGAAGCATCGCGGCACCACGGCGCCGCCTGTGTGCACGACCGCTGTTCGCGACGACGGCCGCGCCATCGCCGCAGCTCCCCCCCGGCCGCCCTCCTCCCTCCGTGAACGAGTTAGCGGTGTGACGACCGCCTTTGCTGGCCATGTCAACCTCTCCCTCACCTCCTCTCCTCTCCCTTCACCCCTTCACAGTTCCATCACACGCACATCATAACACCACCACCAGTCCCCGCGACTTCACATCCATCACCCCTCCACCTTCCCACCAAACACACACACGCACACACACGCACAGCATGGCGGCTCCGACGACGCACACGCTCGGGTTCCCGCGCGTGGGGGAGCAGCGGGAGCTGAAGAAGGCGCTCGAGTCGTACTGGCGCGGCGACGTGACGGAGGCGGCGCTGCGCCAG